CCTGAAATAAATTTCTTTCATTCTTATGTTTTATCTCAACATGTTTTCCCCCATCAAGTAAAATTTCCCGGCATCTACCCCAGCTTTCCTCTCTGGCTTCACTTACCTGGTCCCAATTTCAGAAGAATGTAATTTAGCACACACTCTGTAAAAACTAACTTTGAAAATAATGTTGAATATAAGCTAATTGAAAAAAATAATTTTTTTAAATTTTAGTTTCGGGATTCCAAGAAGAAAGTGAGAGATTTCAAGCAATAGGTTCAGAAGGGTAAGAAGGAGAACCAGTTAGTGGCAAAAAGCCAGGTTCTCTCTTTCAACAAAGAAAAAGAAAGGAATTAAAAACTCCAGGAAATCTTTTGGCTTTTGGCTCGGAGGCGGCCTAGGTGCTGCTTTCTTCAGTTGTCCCGAATCCAGGTTCATCCGACACCAGTCGCCTCCACTATGCCACCGAAGTTTGACCCCAACAGTCGTATACCCGAGGTGCATGGGCGGGAAGTCAGTGCCACAGCTGCCCTGGCCCCTCGACCAGTCCCCAGGGTCTGCCTCCAAAACAGGTTGGTGAGGACATAGCCAAGGCAACAGGGGACTGAGAGGGTCTGAGGTTTAGGTGAAACTGACCACTCAGAACAGACAGGCCCTGCGTGAGGTGCTGCCTTCTGGCCCTGCCCTGACCGTCAAAGCCCTCAAAGAACTGCCACAAGCCAGAAACAAACAAAACACATTAAGCAGAGTGAAAACACCACTTCTGATGAGACTGTCAACACTGACCGACAGATGAGGTACCGATCTTTTTCTTTTTTTAAAATTTATCTTTATTGATTTCAAAGAGAGAAAGGGAGAGGGGGAGAGAGAGAGAAACATCAATGATGAGAGTCATCGACCGGCTGCCTCCTGCACGCCCCCTGCTGGGGATCGAGCCCGCAACCCTGGCACGTGCCCTGACCGGGAACTGAACTGCGATCTCCTGGATCATAAGTCGATGCTCAACCACTGAGCCACATCAGCCTGCTGCAGCAACGATCGTTAGCTAAAGAACTCTCTGGAACCATTAAAGAGATTTTTGGGGCCTGCCCAGTCCGAGGGCTGCCGTGTCGATGGCTGCCATCCTCATGACATCATAGATGACATCGGCAGTGGTGCAGTGGGATGTCCAGCTAGTTAAGAAGTACAAAGGGAAATATTTAAAGATCATTTGACAACAACAAAAGCTCCAGGAAAAATAAAAGCACCTTTCCAAGATAAAGCGATGTAAAATGTGGCATGAATTTCAACAATGTACCCAGCAAAAGATAAGGGTTCATTTGTCCTGATCAATATGAACCTTCTCTTTCAAGTGGTACTTGGGCTGACTTTGAACCTACAGAGGAGAAATGAAGCGCTAACCATTACTTTCCCTCCTGTTCAAAATAATGTAAATAAGGCTGGTTGGTTTTTCAACTGTTATTGTCAGTTTAAAGACAAAGCTTACAAGGGCACAGGTAATTATAAAATAAAATGTGCTATCAACCTGGACAGCTTAAAACTAAATGCAGAGCTAGTAGTTGGGCAAGAAAGAGAGAGAAGTGGAAAGAGTAAGAAAAATTACGTTATCACATGAGACTACAGGAAAAAATTAAAAATTGATGGAAAAAGTAAAAAATATTTAGTATTGGTTACATAACATATAACAAATATAGTAGGTTAATGCAGAACACATCGTTATAAAGATTTTTTAAATGTTAAAGGTATTTAAATTTATGAAATAAAAAAAAACATCAAAACGGAATTGAAAACCTAAAAGAGTCTACTGTATATTTAAATAAAATTCAAAAACAAGCAAAACAAACCCATGGTACTACAAGTCAGAACAGTGCCAGCCTTTGAGGGAAGTAGTAGCTGAAAGGGGACAAGCCAGGGTTTCTGAAGTGTCGCTTGATTGGTTACACAAGTGTGTTCACTTTGTGAAAATGCATTAACTGTACTAATAGTATCTGCCCTTTTCAGTCTTTTATACCTCCAAAAACAATTTTTAGAAAGAACAAAAAGAAAGGGGAAGGAGAGGAAGAGGGCAGAAAACATAAGCGAGCTCAGATTCATTAGTGTCTACTACTGATAAAACCGGAAATCACAGAAAAGGCCTATTATTTATAAGAACTGAAAAAAGTATTGTCTTTACATGTTATATTCATAGTCTGTCCACGCGTATGACTTCTGATAGCCCTGAGCAAAGGGAGGGTTCACACTCAGACTTCTATTTAGTTTGAGTGATTAGAGCTCCACACTCGATACACATCTGTTTCCTTTAAAGTGTGTGCTAGTCCTGGACCAGTGCCACATGAATCTGATGTTTTCGTCTGTACTACTAAAAGATTAAAGCCTATCATGATTCAGCATTCAAACAAGTGAGCTGTTGCTATATATTAAAAACAGAGCTCCATTTAGGATTCCCCCTCGCTTATCACGTGTACTGGGTATTAAAATTAAAAGCAGCACTTCAGGGAGAGGAGAAACTAGAAAGATAAAAATGTAACAAATAATAAAAACAACTGCTAGAATGTTACTGGCAAAGGGCAGTCACCCATCCTAATTTAATTAGCAACAACAGGAAACATGTAAATAATAGAATGCAAAATATCTTTTTAATCTTGCCACTGATAATACCAGAAATTATACTGGATATAACGTCAGCTACTAGAAATTTCTGAAAAAATCAGATCTCCACAAAATCTTAAAATTAAAATTTAAAATGTCTTCATTCCCTTTAATTTTTACCAATCTGATATTTAGGTTCTTTTGTAGGAAGGCCCAGTTTTAATATTCTATAGAATTCAACACTCCCTAATTGATGAATTTAAAGAGACCTCAATCAAAACGTCAACAATAATTTTTCTAGAAAATAACTAAGAACTTTAGAACGCACGTAAAAATGTAACCAGATGTGAATATCTATGAAAAATCTTAAAAATGAAAAGTAATGACAAAGAATCTGATTGTTAGGATCTATAAAAATACAGTAAAATAGTATGGCACTGTTGGCAGAAGAAACAATCGATGGAACAATAGTCCAACAATAGACTCAAGAATGTGATGGAATTTAGACACTGCACTCAAATCAGTAGGCAAAAGATAGTGATTTAATAAATTATGTTAAAACAATTGGTTAGACCTCTGCTTTAAAAAAATGAATAAAGCCTCCCTAACATCTCCTGGACTTTTTCATTTTCTTATTTATATGGAAATTTACAACACATACTTTACACGAAAAGTAATTACAGATGGATCAAAATACTATGCAGTCAAAGGCAAGTTAAGAGGCCTAAGCAGCTAACTAAATGTGTGAATCCAACTGTGTGGGGATTGCAGTAAACTAGAAAACATCTGCGCATTCCCAACTTTTTTTTTTTAATACCAGATCTCTCTGGGGCAGGCTGACGCAGTGGATGTCTGAAGGAAGACGTAGGCTGGGAGTTCTGGCTGACCTGTAGCCTGAGGGGATTCAACATCCTCGCACACCTGAGAAGTACTGATGACACACCACTTGGAAAGTTCTGAATTAGAAAGCTCGTGCCTGGTCTAAAAGAGCGGTAGCTCTTCAGATACGGCAATGCTCAACCGATGCTCGACAGATGCTATTAAACCTTAAATTTTTCAAGAGAAGATAAAAGTCTAGATTGTTATTAAAAAACACAGGCAGACAGACCTTTTAGAATACTATGAGGGGCCGGGCAAAGCCCATCTGTTGGCCAGATCTATCCCCTAGGCCACCGGCTTACAAATTCTGATTTAAATGCAAAACACAAAACCATTCAAGAGCTGCAGAGAACACATGACATTATTTTCACAATCCTGGAGCAGGGAAGACCTAAGCACAATCAAAACCAGAATACATAAAGGACAAGACAGTTAACTACATAAAAATTTAAAACTTATGTGTAACTAAACAAGCCTAAAGACAGAAGACAACAGTCTCCCCCGGGGCTCCAGCAGAGTGAGGAGTGTTGCAGCCTGGGTCACATGCCTTCTCCGTGGGGGAGGAGAGTATACCATGTTTAACAGCAGTACCAGAACCACCTGGAACAAAGAGTTTCTTACTTGAACAGAAACGGGGAGGAAGCAGGAAAACATCCAGGATGGACAAGCACCATCATCTATTACTCAAAAAATATTAAGTTTGAATCTACATGTCTCATACTTGAATATGTTTTTTAATATCGACTAGTGTTAAAAACAAAAATAAAAAACTAATCAGTGATATTAAGAATTCTTCCTGCCCGGCCGGGCATGGCTCAGCGGTTAAAGCGTCGACCTAGGATCCAGGCGATCAGGGTTCGATTCCCGGTCGGGGCACATGCCCGGGTTGCGGGCTGCAGCCGATCAATGACTCTCTCATCATTGATGTTTCTATCTCTCTCTCTCCCTTTCCTTTCCTCTCTCTGAAATCAATAAAGATATATTTAAAAAAAAGAAAAGAAAAAAAAAGAATTCTTCCTGGCTATCAAATGAGTTATTCTTAATAACTGCTTCAGAATGTGAATATGGACCCTCAACAACACTGGCCATGTAGTATATGTAAGAAGGCAGGTCACTGCATGTGCAGAGTTGGAGGGAGAAATGTAAAAGTCAGAAAATGTAATGATGACAGAATTTCTTTCTTCAGGGCTCTCATGATAAGGTGGATTTCATCACGGTATTCATTTCAGCACATGCTGAATATGCACACATTTTACCAAATCAGTGCAATATGGACCAGTATCTTGAACACTGAATTAGGATGCTGATCTAAGATAACATCCACATGTTTAAAGAAATGAGGTGAGACTCAGAAAGTACTAGATTTAAAGAAAGTATGTAACCAGTCTAGCAGGTTTGACTTCATGTAGAGAAACTAAAATGTTCACACATTTTCATGGACCAGAGAGTTCATAAGTTGCAAAAATGAAAAGGAGCTAATTTGTTCTTTCAAAAATAGATTATAAAATTAAAATATCACTTTATTTTTGAGTCATAGATTTCATGGTTACCTGTTGCTGCTGCTGTTGACTCTTTCAGTAAACGCCATTGCTGCCAGTCAGTGGAAAGTGACAAGTCTATTCATCTGAAAGAGAAAGAGCTTGTGAATATCAGTCTATCGGTAAAACTCATAGGCATGTCTGACCTGTAAGAAATTTTACTGGAGACAGAATTCAAAGTCCTCATTTGAATTAGAGAATGGTTCTTTACCAATTCCCAAGTTGCATGAATAAACTGACTAGCATATATGAAATACAAAATGCACTTTTAATTTTAAAGCTGCTACTCAAAGCCATTTCAGCAAGAAGAAAAAAATGTGCACAAGTTTATCATGAGAAGAAAGGAAATAACATTTCCCCAGTGTCTACTATGTGCCAAGCATTGTGTTAAATACTTTTTTAAATGACAGTTCACGTAAACATTACAATAAACGTGCAAGGTAGATATTAATGCCCTGTTGTACAGATAAGAAAACTATAACTCAGTTTTAAGTAATTTGCCTGAGATAACAGGTTACGTCAGTGTCCTCACTAGAATCAGGAGAAAGAAAGGTAGAGTATGCAAGAGAAAGGAAATCAACATTGATCTTTATATACAAGAATTCAACACTTAATAAAAAGAATTTTTAAAGCGCGCCCCAGTAAAACCCAATCTTAAGATTTTACTTCCACTCATAAAAGGTACTTAATTAATCCCCACGGCAATTCTTGAGCATTCTCTCGTAACAGTACTGGGTAGTGTGCGTGCATGTGTGTGTTATTCAATGTGGGCAGATGGCACTCCTATCTTATGTTTCTCTAGAAACAACCTCTCTTTCTATGGTTAACACTATCAACAGCTGTTTCCTTTTTCCTTTCTTGTGTGTTTGTAAATTTATTGCACTTATCCTAACTTGCTTTAAATAGTTTCTATTTTTCAAACATCCTTAAGGAAAAAGGTATGTTAATATATTATCTTAGTACAGATTGAACAAACTATTTGATACAAATGGAAATGCTACATTAAACTTGTAACAATTTTAGCTGCCTGCTTGTTTAAGAGGCTGTTACACTTTTGGCTGAAGTTTAAACACTGAATATAGTCCTTCAGCTCCACTCTGACTCCTGGTAAGGTCTTTTATCTCACCCTTTATGAAATGAAAATTGCTGACTTGAAGACCACAATGTTTCCATATGAGTAGACATAATCTGTCACTCCTCTCTCTTCCCCCAAAAGAATGAAACATGGATGCTGCAAATATTCTAATTAAACACACTGGTAGAGCTCTAAGTTTTTCAGGGTCAACTATGCTTTGCAGTTGGTCTCTCCTCCAACCAGCTACAGTGGCCCTAGGCAAGTTTCCTAAATTCTCCAAATTCAAATCACGATCTCCCCCACCCCGCCCCCAATACCACCTTATTCTCTCTCACTTTCCCTCTCTCAAACACTTTTCTCTTTCTCCCTGTCTCTTTTTCTATCCTGCCTTTCCTCCTCCCTCCCCCAGCCCCACCATCTTCTCTCTTTCCCCTCGAGCCCTTCCTTCCCCTCCTGACCTTTTGCTGTTCTCTCACTTTCTCTTGGCATGCAGGACTGGCACATAGTAAGTGATCAATAAAACAGGCGTTCATTTTGGCATTAACCTTTCTAACGCTGTAAAGGCTTTTGAAGAATCTGTGATGGCCATCCCCTTCCCAGTGAAGATGCCCCACCTGCCTGTAGCCCCACAGCATTCACCCCTAGGACAGAGAGGGCAGTTTGGGCTGTTGGGGGCTGCCAACCTGAAAGAGTGGTCCTGAGTTCCCTCTTTGGTCATTTACTCACTGAGCCAACAAATATTTCCTGAGCATCTACTCTAAGGCAGGTACTGAGAATAGGAGAGTAAAGGAAACAAACTCTTGCTATCATCTGAGTTTACAAACTATAGGAGGCAAAAACGAAACACAGTATATAGATGTTAAATATTAAAAGATGCTAGAGAGAAAAACAAAGAGAAAGTATAAAGTGCCAGGGAGGAAGTGAGGTAAGGCGTTGCAATTTTATATAGGGTGGTCACAGAATGTAACATTTGAGCAAAGACTTTGGTGATAATAATGTGTCCCTGTAGGTTCATCAACTGTAACAAATACAACACTCTGGTGGAAGATGCTGATTATGCGGGAAGATGTGCGTGTAGGGGTGGGGAGATCCATGAGAAGTCTGTGCCTTCAGCTCAAATTTGCTGTGAACCTGAAAGTGCTCCCAAAGTCTCTTTCAAAAAAGTGGTCCTAGAGACTGACAAATCTAAGTCTGACTGAAGAATTCAGTCGAACTCCTGGGTGTCATCACTGGCTTGTTGGGTGGTGGGTGGAGTACAAGATGAAAGAGACATTTTCTGAGGGATTTGGCCCCTGGGCACAGCTAGGGACTTGTCTGTGCAACTAAACTTCACAAGTTGGCTGGGAGGCACGGTCCTTTCCAGAGAGGCAGGGGCGAGGAGGCTGAGTCACCAGATTATTGACTATCTCAGTTATGTCTCACAGTAAGGCCAATTCAGCCCAGGAAAGGCTATTCAGGTGTATGATCTGCTCAGCTGCACGGAGGAGCCATGCAAGTCAGCTATGGGGTCAGGTAACAATGGAGGCCTGCTGTGGTCAGGAAGGTATTATCCTGAACCACTGCTAAGAGAGGAAATTAGTACATGATTCTGTTTAGCAGTTCTCCTTCAGAGGATCTTTCTTTAAAATATAGTCATGCCCTGGCTGGGTGGCTCAGTTAGTTGGAACATCATTTGTCCCATGCACCAAAAGGTTGCAAGTTCAATTCCCGTCGGGGCACATACCTAGGTGCCGGGTTCAATCCCTGGTTGGGGAGTGGGAGGCAACCCACCAGTATTTCTCTCTCTCTCTGAATATATCCTCCAGTGAGGATTAAAAGAACAACATATATATAGTCAGATACCTACAAGGAGGTATGTGCAATAATATGTTGTTTAAAGAAGAAGAAAACTGGTAACAACCTAATACAAACCAACACAGAAATGTGATGTATCCTAATGGATACATCTTTTGATGTTACATTGCATGTTGTGATGTATCCTAATGCAATGTAACATCAAAAGAATAGGTTTATGCAAACAAGATGCTGAACAAAATGCACAATGTGAAAAAAAAGCACAACGTGAGCCACTTTGGTTAAAAAGAAAAGGCGTCATACTTATTCATGATAATACACACGGTGTGCATGCACATGTACCACACTGTTAGGAGCAGCTTTTCTGAAAAAGGGCACTGGCACCTTTCATTCTTTATGCGATGAATCCTTTATTACTTGTGTAAACATTTTTTTTTCTCTAAATCTGGGGATTGGGGGGAAAATGCACTGGTCTATAAATATTGAAATCAGAAGGTCTTCCTGAAATTTTCATACATTTTGTATCATTTTCACAAAATTATAAAGACAAAATGGAATAATAAGTGGAGGGGTGTTTAAACCCTCCCATTAAAAAGAGCAGAAAAGATAACACAGCTCTATTTTTAAATATGTTTTTATTGATTTGAGAGAGGAAGGAAGAGGGAAAGAGAGAGAAACATCATGGGCTGCCTCCTGCACACCCCTCACTGGGGATCAAGCCAGCAACCTGGGCATGTGCCTGACTGGGAATCGAACTGGCTAGCTCTCAGGGCATGGGACAACGCTCAACCAACTAGGCCACACCGGCCAGGGCAGCATGGCTCCTTATTAAAATGGAGCGGTGCTGGATAGCAGAAAGAGACCAGGTTCAAGTGAGACAGGTGATCACTTTGGGCAAACTAAGCCCTGCCAGCCTCAGTGCTACCCTCTGTAAAATAGAAAATTGCCTATTTTACAGAGTTACTGAGAAGAGTGAATTATATGACCTAGCTAAAATGCCTAGCACACTGACACATCACAGGCATTCAATACATAACAGCTCTTGTTATTTAAGTCAGCAATGTCTATGTTCAATTTCATGTACATAACACAGGCTATGTCTCATTTAGAAATGTACCTGCCAGGTCTATTTAAGCGACCCTTCTTTAGTCCTTCCAGTCTCTTGCAAAACAAACTTATTTAGAAATAAAAATGTCATGTATATCAAACTGCTCTTCTCCCAAAAAAGCAGGTAAAAAAAAAAAAAAAAATTTTTAGTGTTACAAACACACCATACCCCCATATAATTACAAGGAAAGAAAAAAGAGGCCTGGCTGGTGTGGCTCAGTTGGTTGAGTGTCGTCCTGTGCACTGAAAGGTCGCCAGTTCGATTCCAGGTCAGGACACATATCCAGGCTGCTGGTTCAATTCTCGGCTGGGGTGCGTACGGGAAGAAACCAATCAATGTTTCTCTCTCATCAATATTTCTCTTTCTCTCTCTCTCCTCTCCCTTCCTCTCTAAAACCAACAAAAACATTTTTTTTAAAAAAAAAAGGGGAGAAGAAATACAAAATATGACTCAGGATATTTTCAAATATTCTGTTCTAGGTCATTATGCGCTTCCAAAACCTAGCACATTCCAGGCAACCACCTCTCAGGAGGTTTTTTTTTTTTTTTTTTTTTTTAATGACATGCTAGTTAAAAGGCCTGCTTTGCAACCTTCCGGCTCCTATTTTACAGAGTTACTCAAGAAAATACTGCTCTTCTCTAAGGTCTCAGCTTCATTCATCAGTAATACGGGGATTCTGTAGGGTGAAATAAAATGCCTGTAGTAGTTTTAGCATAATGTCCAGCTCATGGTAAGCACTCAATAAATAGTAGTTGTGCTGGTTATTTTTGTCAACCGAAGCACACGCTCCAGAGAATTCATACATTAGAGAAGCTTTTCCACTGGACAAACAGTTACGCAGGTCTCAAAGCCCCATGACCGTGACCCAGTTTCCTAAGGAGAATATGAGGGAAAGAGCTCAGTCTGGAGGCTAGAGGATGCCTGGGCTTGTCAGCAGTCCCTGCACTCCCCCCCCTTCCCCTCCAGGAAGAACAGTCTCTTTGCAACAGGCAATGTGTCAGAGGTGAGTCAAGGGTCACACACTCTGTTTTCATCTGAATTCTCCAGAACTCTACCACATGTAGATCATAATCTCCCCGGGGTCCCAAACAGACAGATCGCCTCCAGGT